GCGAGACTTTGACTCCTCATGGGAATCCTTACCTCTCTGAGGAGTGGATCAGACCTGGGGTGGGGGAAGCAAGGGGGAGCGGTAGGAAGGGAGGGAGTGGGAACTGGGATTGGTATGTAAAATGAGAAAAGATTGCTTTAAAAAAATAAATAAAAATGATCAGGGTGGTGGTGGTGCCTGCCTTTAATCCCAGCACTTGGATCAGCAGAGGCAGGCTGATCTATGTGAGTTTGAGGCCAGCCTGGTCTACAAGAGTTAGTTCCAGGACAGGCTCCAAAGCTACAGAGAAACCTTGTCTCGAAAAACCAAAAGAAGCAAACCCAATCAATTTTTGGCAGGTGCCATGATACCATGACACATACCTGTCTTCCCAGCACTTCAGAGGAGGAGAAGGATCAGAAGTTTAAGGTCATCCTTGGCTACATATCAAGTTTGAGGTCACACATGAGACTGATCTCAAAAAACCAGAATAATGAGGACTGGAAGAAGTCTTAGAGGTTAAGAGCATTTGCTGCTCTTGCAGGAAAACACTCACATCAGGCATCTCACAACTACTTCTATCTTTAGTTCCAGGGGATCTGAAGTCTTCTTCAGGCCTCTCCAAGCACTGCATGCAAATAGTACATGCCATACACAGTAACACATGCATACACATAAAATTAAAACAAACAAACAATGGCTTAGTGGATAAAGCACTTGTGCAAGTGTGGGGACTGAAATTTGGATCTCCAGAACCCATGTAAAGATGAACATGGTAACATGATTCTATAATCCCAGGGTTGCTATGTTGAGATAAGAGATGGAGAACCCGCCGGGTGGTGGTGGCACAAGCCTTTAACCTCAGCACTAGGGAGGCAGAGGCAGGCGGGTGGATCGTCGTGAGTTCGAGGTCAGCTTGGTCTACAAGGGCTAGTTCCAGGACAGGCTCCAAAGCTACAGAGAAACCCTGTCTCGAAAAACCAAAACAAACAGACAAACAAAAAAAGAGATGGAGAACCCCTGGCAATACTTAGGTCACCTAGCCTAGTGTATACAGCAGTAAACAAGAGAGACTCTGTTTCAGCAAGGTGGAAGAGCGAACATCAGTATCTGAAAATGTCCTCTGACCTCCATAGTGGCATATGGGCATGGGTGCGTGCATACACAGGCAAACACACACACACACACACACAAGGAGAGAGTGAGAATGAGAGAGAGACAAAACCAGATAAGACCTGGGTAAATCCCTAGCCTTCTTGTAATCCTATTTCCATATGACAGTTAGAGATGGATTTCTCCCCCCCATCCCTGGCAGGGTTTCTCTACATATCCCTGGCTGTCTTTGAACTCACTCTGTAGACCAGGCTAGCCTCAAACTGTCTCTGTCTCCCGAGTGCTGGGATTAAAGAATAGTGCCACCATGGTTAGGCACTATTATATTTTTAGACAAGGTCTTACTATGTAGCCCTGCTGGCCTCAAATTCATAGCGATCCACTTGCCTCTTTCTGTAGTGCTGGGATTAAAAGGTATGTGCCACCAGGCCCAGCCTGTTTCAGAGTAGGAACTTGAGAGTGGGGGACACAGCTGAGCACGGGCCTAGCATGCTGGCCCTGGCTCCATTTTGGGTTTTTTTTTGGGGGGGGGGTAAGATTTATTCATTTATTATGTATGCAGTGTTCTAGGTCTGCATGTATACCATCAGCCCAGAAGAGGGTGCCAGACCTCACGACAGATAGCTGTGAGCCATCATATGGTTGCTGGGAATTGAACTCAGGACCTCTGGAAGAAGACCCAGTGCTCTTAAAGCTGAGCCATCTCTTCAGGCCCCTGGGTTCCATCTTAAACAGCAGCAGCACCACCACCATCATCACCACCACCACCAACACAATAACAACAACAAAAACGTGAGTATGGGGTTAGAGAGACGGCTCAGCAGTTAAGAGTGTGCACTGCTCTTCCAGCGCCCTCATTCAATTTCCAGTACCCACATAGAGGTGGGAGTTCATACTTGCCTGTAACTTCAGCTCAACGGAGACCTGATACCTCTGGCCCCCGCACATATAACTAAAAATAAAGTTAATCTTTAAAAGAATAGCTTTCTTTTATATAAAAACTTCTATTAAACTTAGACTCAAAGCCAAACTGCTTGCTCAGCCAGCAACACTGCACACTGCATCTTCGGTTGGTCTTCCTCCTTTTCCTTCCCTTCCCTTTGCTTGCTTAGTTTCATTTGGTCACCTTTCTTCCTGTTCCCACATGTCCCTCTGGATGAGTATGCCAACTGTGAATAGCCTGGTGGCTGCTGGTAGGTATATGTCCCCAGAAGACCTTATGGTTGGAGCTCAGTGGTTAAGAATACTGGCTGTTCTCCCTAAGGATCTGGGCTCGATTCCCAGCACCCAGATATTGGCTCATAACTTAACTCCAGTCCTAGAGGATCTGATACTCTCTTCTGGCCTGCCTGGGTATCACCCATGCACTCTGGGCAAAATACCTGTCTTTAAAACAAAATTAAAAAAAAAAAAAAGGAACCTCAGCCATAGCGATCCCAGCTTTACTTACCATAGCAAAGAGGTTGTCATAGCCTTTGACTTTGGTAGGCACCTTGGAGAATTTCTGATCAAAAGCATCTGAGATATTGTGGGCTGGGTCTGTGGAAATGATTAGAACACTCTCACGTCCTTTAGATAGTTGGACCGCCAGGCTGCAACTGCGCAAAAGAAAGGTGGGAAGACAGGAGTGAGGAGCCAGCTTTGGAAGTGGGTTATAGCAGGAGACACAGGGTTGGGCCACAGAGCCCTGGATCAGCGGGACCTTAAGAGCAAGTATGGGTCCCAGTGGAATCATGCTTTAATACTTGCAGAGATCACCACCTGACCCTTCTATTTGGATTGGACTGGTGTGCAACGTTCAGTTGACTGGTTCGGCCTGTTCAAGCACCTGCTTCTGCTTTTTTGGCATGCAGCGGCACAGTCCAGGTGTCCAGCCAGCACAGACTGCTTTTCCTCCCTCGCTCCATTTGTTCGGGGACAAGTACTTCACCTCTCAATGGACTGAGGCACTGTAATCATGTGCTTTTTACACACCCTTCTACTCCTTCCCGCGCTGGGCATCAAATGGAAGGTTCGTCATACTACAACAGCTTGCATTAGTGTCCCCCCCTCTACTCTGAACTTCCTGTGGGGTACTGTCCAGCCGACTGCGGTATTTAAAAGCTCCTCTGCACACCCCACGCGCTAGATTCACAAGACCCAAAGAGGGATAATTCAACTAGGACGCCAGACTTGCATTCAGGAGGTATCTTCAGCAGGCTGCAGTACCTTCCGCTGAGTACATCCCCGGAGAGCCCCGCTGAGCTCGCTCAGCCCCGCTCGGGATGAAAAAGCCGGTCCCCGTTCTCCCTTTCGTATGGTGGTACATCCCACCCGTCTTCTTGGCCCCACTAGAGCCTCCTTACCTGCAGGTGGTCTTACCCACGCCACCCTTGCCCCCGACGAAGATCCACTTAAGGCTGCGCTGCTCGATGATATTGCTAAGCGTGGGCTCCAGCGGCTCCACATCAGGAGCATCCTCGAACTCCTCTGCCTCAACCCCCCACCCGGCCACCCCCGCCGCCATCTTGGAGCCGGCTCACGTGATCAAGCGGGACGCTCCACGTCCCAAAAACCTACAGGGGAAAAAAGTCAGCAACATCCCTGTGGAAGCTGGAAGCCTGACTTATTTTCCTCCTGCATTGACCTTTACACTGACAACAGACGCTATGTTTTCACCGTTTTATGCCTCGAGGGCTCACCTTGGTGAACTTTTTTCTGTAGTTTTCTAAGACTTCCCCTGACTTGTGAACATATTGGTATGACCCACAGCATTGCCCTTCACTGATTGGATCCTAAGTCTTGCGGCACTCTTTTTATTGGCTGTATCTTGTCTTACTTCCACTAGTCACGCTCAAGTCCCTGTAGGCGTCAACCTCTCTCTCCTTAGCAACCAGCCAAACATCCTGTCTCTGCTCTTTGAAGTTAGAGCAAGGGTGTCTCTTGGCTCGGTTCTACAAGCTCACTTTCCTGATGATCATTTCCCCATTACTTTCTACTTTGGACCTTAACATCTCTTCTTGTCCGCCAGTTACTCAGTTGGTTGTGAGCCACCTGGCTCCTGTCGCAACCAATCACGAACGGACTGGTTAGTTGACTGAGGGTCGATAAAAGGCAAAAAAGACTCCATTTGTGGCAGGGCATGCAGACTTTTGTCCTATATGCCCGGAATACCCAAGCTGGGTAGGAATGATGTCTGTAACAGTCGTCCTTGTAAAAAGAACTTTAATTTTCTAAAACTCTTGTTGCCCTTGGCGCTCTGCTTCCCCTATCCCCTCCGTGTACACGTGTGTGCGTGCTTCAAGTTCAACAAATGCTGTTTGAATTCAATCCCTGTTCTCGGGAAGGAATACTAGGGTTCTTAGTCCCTTAGCGCAGAACTCAGCTCAGAACATTAAGTCTTAGAGAAGGACTCAGACTAGAAATATCTTCGGCTTCATTTGAGTGCTCAGCTTTATACTACTCTGAGACTGGGCGTCTAGCTGCACGCAGCCAGCAGTATGCTTATTTAAAGGTACGAGATTAAATTCCGAGACAGATGTCCAATCTGGAGAAGCTTTCACTTCTAATAGGAGGTGTCAAGTTAGATAAGCCTTGTAGACTTAGTTAGGGGCCGCCCAAATTCCCTCCCGAGTCAAGTGAGCACGCAGTGCCCAGACAAGATTCTTTAGAGTTCTGGCAGCCGACAGGGATTGTGCGTTCAGCCTTTAGAGGGGACTCGGGTCCCAGACGATGGTTCGATTCTCGGGGAGCTTCTGTCTGCTTAACGAATTCGTGTCTGGCAGGATTAGGGAAAATCCGTGGAACAGAGGAAAGAAACCCGACGTTGGGTCGTCAGGTCAGAGCACCCTGGCTCCACCCAAGCCCCGCCCACTGGCGTTGGTTTCTGGGATCAGTCCTCCCTTCCCAGCATGCAGTGCTCCAGACGAAGTCAGTCCCGCGCCAAACGCGCGAGCTGAGAGCTTTCCCGACGTTCCTTGCGCGGCACCTGGCGACAAAATGGCTGCCCGAGGGAGACGGGCGGAGCCTCCGGGTCGGGAGGCGCCCGGCCCGGCGGGCGGCGGCAGGAGTCGATGGGCTGAATCGGGGCCAGGAACGTCACCCGAGAGCGGGGACGACGAGGTGTCTGGCTCAAGTCCGGTGTCCGGCGGTGTGAACTTGTTCGCCAACGACGGCAGCTTCCTGGAGCTGTTCAAGCGGAAGATGGAGGAGGAGCAGCGGCAGCGGCAGGAGGAGCCACCCCCGGGCCCGCAGCGACCCGACCCATCGGCCTCCGCCGCGGCGGGCCCTGGGAATCCGAAGAGGAAGGGCGGCCCAGGCCCCACGCTCAGCTTCGTAAGGAGCCGCGGGGGTGGGGGCGGGCGCCGGGGCCCGTGTTGGCAGGGGGAGTCGGGCCCGGGAAGGGGCGTCATGGTCCAAGGCAGCCCTCCGTCGGGACGCCCGGACGATCCCGGTCGCTTGCTGAGAATGTTGAACCTGGATTCCGGACAAGAGGTGTTTCTGGGCGGTAGTGGGAACACCCAGATCTTACTCGCGGGACCTGGGAACCGGGAAATTGTACTGGAAGCAGCACTCTGGGGATAGGGGACCTTAGACACTAGGATTCCTGTTTGTTTTGTACCCAGACTTGGAATAGTGGGGACCCAAACACACAGTTTGTGGGAACAGGAGGGTACAAATTCAAATTCCGAGTCTACTGTATTCGTTAAACTCAGACCACGGACCGTAGCCGGGTGTGGTAGCACACGCCTTGCAATACCAGTACTCCGGATTCAAGAAGACCGAGGATTCGAAAGTGAGATCCTGCCCTAATTAAACAAAACCAACCAACCAACCAACCAACAACAACAAAATGCAAATCACCGACTTTGTGGCTTTAGGAAGATCAGTCGATTCCTTTCTATATCTTTTAATTACTGTCGGTTTATTGAGCACATTACTTTGTGCTGGGTATTCAGTGTTGAATTTGACAGAAAAGAACGTTGTTTGTTTAGAGCCTGGGCTGCCTACCCTGTTTTTCTGTAGTTCTAAATTGTTGAAATTTCACTTTTGGATGTGAGAATATTCCTTAGAAAATTCAGGCTCTTACAGAAAGAACGAGACCAGTGGTTCTCTATTGGGGACAACTCTCTTTACCCTCATTGGTAAAGTCTGTAGACATTTTGGTTGTTAAAACTCTAAGAGGAGATGCTAGTGACATCTATGGGTAGGTACAGGGATGCTGTTCAGTATCCTACAGTGCATGGGATAACAAAGAATGATCTAGCTGAAAACGTCATGAGTGCCAGGTTGAGGAGCTCTGGGTTAAATAAATTGGATATATAATTTTTGTTAGTTTTGAGCTTGCTTTGTCTCAGGTGTTGAGTTAGAGGCCCTGTAGCGGGGAGGAAGAAATGTTGGTTTGAAAATAACAGATCGTGGGTCAAATCCTGAACTCAGCTGTGTGGTTTGGGGCAAAACTTACGTTTCTTTAGCTCTTAAAAGGATGTATGCGCCAGATAAGGTGACACATACATGTAATCCTAGCACTGTGTAGGTTGAGAGAGGAGGATTGAAGAGTTTGAAATCAGCCAAAGTTACATAGCAATAACCTGTTTCTAGAAACAACAGGAAGAAGTTGTATTTGTGTGACTGGGTCCAGTACTGTGTTCCTGTGATCTCAACTATTCAGGAGCTGAGACCAGAGGGTCTAAAGTACAGAGTGAATTCAGAGCCAACCTGAGCAACTTAGTGAGACCCATCTCAAAATAAAAACGAGATGTAGAGATTTAGCTCAGTTGTAGATTACTTCGAATGCTTGAGAGCCTAGATTACATCTGTAGTACTACGCGAGAACAGGTGATGGGGGAATAGTCACAGCAGTAGCTGATGCCTAAGTTGAAGGATGAGTACAAGCCTCTCCCCGCCCCCCCCCCCCGGGGGTTAAGGGGAGAAGATGGGATATTAGGGTTGAAATCTAGAGTAAAACTGTTCTTAGAGGAAGTAGAAAGTGACAGGTGACAGGATATCTGGGTCTGGGTTGATGTGACAGTCAAGAATAGAGGCTGAAATCTTCTCCAGGAATGGGAGCAGCAGTAGTGGTACTATTAATTCCATATGTTCATGACTAGCCATTATAGTTACTTATACCTCTAAAACAGCCAGGCCAGTTCAGGGCAGGATTATTAGGGATGCGTTGTGGTTCAGGGTGCTCCCACTGGCTTCGCACCATCTTACCCTGAGCATTGCTTTCTTGTTTTACAGCGTGTTCTGTTCCTCCCAGAGACTTGTCTTTAATTTTAGAGACTTGTCTCTAAAATGGGGTAGTTATTACCTTTTCAATAGCATAACTGAATGTGAGAGCAGATAACATAGTCACAGCACTCTTTGTGTTGTGTATAAGGCTTGGTAAATACTCAATAAAGGTATTGCTACCTATGTGGTCCCTGCCAGGACAGGGGGAGGCCTGGGCAGAAAGAGTGAGGACAGTGCCACTCCCCAGCAAGGTGAGCACTCCTCTGCCCCCTGGGAGGGTAGCCTGGGGCCCAGGACTGCCTGGGCATGGCAGCCCAGGGCAGGTGCTGAGTCGAGTGTGCTCCTCTCTGATTGCTGCGCAGGTCGGCCGGCTGGAGGAGCTGGGCGAGGCGTCGCTAGGAAGGTGTAGTGGGCCTCAGCACCGCCAAGGGCGGGCCCGGCTCCTGTAACCCTTGCAGTCTTCTGTCCCTTCACCCAGGTGGGCAAGCGCAGAGGCGGAAACAAACTAGCCCTCAAGACGGGAATAGTAGCCAAGAAGCAGAAGACGGAGGATGAGGTGAGTGGGCTTGCTAGGGGTGCCACCCTAACTGTCTTGTCTTTCCAGATTCAGACTTTGGGTGGGTGGGTCTGGTAGGGTGGGAGGTCCCCCAGATAACCTGCTTCTGCTTATTTTCGCCTCAAACCTAGGACATTTAGGGGGACATTAGGAATGGGTTAGCTGTCTCATTGTGTTCCTGACTCTTGTCCCAGCTGCTTCGTCATCTGTCTTCCAACTGGTCCTCCCCTCTTCCGACCCCACAGGTATTAACAAGTAAAGGTGACGCATGGGCCAAGTACATGGCAGAAGTGAAAAAGTACAAAGCCCACCAGTGCGGTGATGATGATAAAACTCGGCCCCTGGTGAAATGACCCCTTCCTGGGTGCTCACTGCCTGGGACTCTCTGCGATGTACATAACTATTTAATGCGGTAATGGCAGCAGCCTTCCTGGAGGACTGATACACAGAAGGAAACCAAGGCGCTTCCCGTGGCCGCAGACCATTCTCCAGGACTCTTTTTTTACCTTGAGCACTTGCCTCCTGAGACTTACTAGACCAGTGGTTTACTGTCCCCTTTCTTCCCACCACCTTGCTTTCTCTGGCTCTGTCTGTCTCTTCTCGCTGTCTCTCCTTTTAGCAGTCACTTCTGAGAAGTAAAGAACCTGATTTAGTGCTGGAATTGTGTGCTCGGTTTGTCATCTTTGCGATCTCCAAGCTAAGACTTTGCCCACTAGTGGCTACCACGTCTACCAGTGCTGGGGTGGAGCCTTTGTGAAGGACAGAGGGGAAGGTTCTGTAGGCAGGGGCACATGCTGCCCGTCTTAGACTCGGGACATCTTTCTTCCTTTTTTAGTAACTGACACTTAAAGGCCTGTCTTGTTTTTGTTTCGAGATAGAGTCTTATGTGTACAGGGTTTGTCTCCTGCCTTGGCAGGCAGCATGGTATGGATTTGTACTACCTTCCAAGTCTCCTCACAGTCTCAGTTTAGCTATGAGTTAGGGTGTACTTAAGTGTGAGTGTGCTTGCTCAGTGCACGTAAGGTGTATTCAGTCTCCAGCACTCCACATTTGTGCAGTGCACTAACCTTACGTTTTGGTTAATACAGAGCTGCTATTTTATTTATTCCCCAGATACTGACTAAGCACTTGGTATATGCCAAGGCTGTTCTGGATTCTAGGGACCAGAGCTTTAAACAGCCTACATTTCCTCTGTTGTTACAGGAGACAGATGGGAAGAAAAGGGATGGCTTTTTGGGTGGTGACTACTAACAAGGATAGAACAGAGGCTTGTTGCAGGAAGGGATGTCTGTTTTAGGCAACTTTTTATATTTTTGGTTGTGAGCATAGCCTTTAATGGCTTATATATCTCTCCAACCCACATGTCACTTTTTCGGTTGCTGTTGTTTTTTGTTTTTCGAGACAGGGTTTCTCTGTGTAGTTTGGAGCCTGTCCTGGAACTCTCTCTGTAGACCAGGCTGACCTTGAACTCAGAGGTCTGCCTGTCTCTTCCTCCTGAGTGCTGGAATTAAAGGAGTGTGCCACCACTGCCTGGCCATATGTTTCTTTTTTAAAAAAATTATTTTTATGTGTTCATTTTTTGCTTGCATGTATGTCAGTGTACCACATGCATACCTGGTACCTGTGGAGGCCAGAAGAGAGCAGCAGATTCCCTGGAACCAGAGTTAAAGCTGGGTATTTATGAGCTGCCATGTAGTTGCTAAGAACTCAACCTGGGTTCTGTAGGAGAGCAGCAATACTTTTTAACAGCCTCTTTAGGTGACATCTGATCAAAGTCTGGAGGGAAGGAGGTGAGAAGAGGAAGTGTCTCAGTAGGGATCTCAAGACACTATAAGGACAGGTTTTACAGTAGCAATCTCTGGTGGTTACTGAGGAAGCACAGATAGCTGTGGTCCAGGAATGTAGAGGGGTGTCCCTGGCCTTTCTGTTAAAGCAATCTGAAGGCACTGTGTTCATTCACTCAGCTAACAAATATGAGGTAGGTACTGGGCATGGTGACTCATGCCTTTGATCTCAGTGCTTGGGAGGTGGAGGCAGGTGGATCAGGAATTTAGGGTATCCCTTGTCTCATGTGGAGTCTCCCCAAAACCACATATAAAATGCAAAGTTGGTCAGGGTTGACAGTTTGATAACATTTGCTCTAGATTTCAAAGATGGCAGGTCAGTCTGGAAGGTCCTCAAGTTCTCCAGGCAGAGGTAACAGCAGGTATAAAGATCTAGGGGTCATAGGTCTTCAAAAGAGGGGTTGGGTGGGTTAATGATAGGGGAGGAAACTGTGGCTGTCTCCTTGGAAGCCAGCAACAGTGGATCATAAACACACACAGACACAAGTAGGTTACCACTGGAGCAGCTTGACCTCTATTCTGGAGTGTGTCAATAAGCAGGGCGAGTTGAAATCCAGGCCCTCCTCATCACAGTCTAGCCAGATATGCGACCTTGGAGGAGTAAAAGGAAATTCAGGTACAAGTTTGGATGAGTCACAGCCCTCTTCTGCTTTTTGTGCCTGTTAGCTGTTTCTATAGATCATTTATCTTTTTTAAAATTGATTTTTTTCATTTGTATGTCTATACCTGCCATATGTGTACAGATGTGTTAAATCCCCGGGAGATGGAGTTAGAGCCAGTTGTCAACCACCTGTCAAGGGTGCTAGGAACTGAACTCTGGTATTATGGAAGAGCATTTAGTGCCCTTAACCCCTGGGCCATTTCACTACTCCCATCACTCCGCTTTTCCATGGCTCATTTGTTTTTGGTCATTTGAGATAGATTTTCTTTTTGTAACCCTGACTGTCCTGGAACTCACTATGTAAACCAGAAAGGCCTTCAACACAGATCCACCAGACTCTGCCTCCCAAGAGCCGAGATTAAAGGTATGTACAAACACATGACTTTATGGTGTGTGTGTGGGGGGCTTGAGACAAGGTTTCTGTGTGTGGTCTTGTGCTGTCCTGGAACTTGCTCTAGACCAGGCTCGCCTTGAACTCACAGAGATCCCTTGTCTCTGCCTCCTGAGTGGTGGGATCAAGGTGTGTGCCACTGCAACCCAGCCCCACACCTGACTTTCTTTTGTCTTATTTTTAAAGATAGGGAAGCATCTTTAAATTCTAGTTGTAAAGAGCCAGGACTGGGGTGTATCTTAGTGATGCAAGGCGTTTGCCTGACATTTAAGATCCTCATCACTACAAAAAACAAATGAAGATATATATAGATATAGATATAGATCTATATCTATATCTATATATATCTGCCAGTTATATATAACTGCCTTCATTGGTTCTCTGAGAGAAGTTAGCTTATGTTTACAGGCTGTATTCTACAGTTCTGATCGAACCTATTTTTTGGGGCATGCTGGCAGGCACACTAACATTGACCTACATCTTGGAGGCCTTGTTTAAAAATTAGACTGAAGCTGGAGAGATGGCATACTGGTTGTGAGTATTTGCTGCTATTGTAGAGGGATTTGGTTCCTCTGGAACTGTTGTTGCAGGTGCTTCCTTGTTGCCTGATTGTAAGTCCTGGGGACTGAACTTGGGTCCTCTGCAAGAGCACTACATGAGGCATCTTTCAAGCCCTTGTTACATTTGTTTTTAAACTGTACTTGTGTGTGTGTTTGTGTGTGTGTGTGTGTGTGTGTGTGTGTGTGTGCATATTTCTTCTATGGCACCCGTGGAAGTCAGTGGACTTCCTTTAGTCAGTTCTCTCTCTACCATGTCGGATGGAACTCAGGTTGTCTAGTGTGGTGGCAAGTACCTTAATCTGTTGAGCCATCTTTCTTTCCAACCTCTCCTAGAACACAGTTTTTGAATGACTGCTATGGAACCCAAGGTCTCATCTATGTTAGGAGACCACTCCAGAGACATGAGTAACTACACATTCTAAATACCAAAAGTGTTTATGTTCTCCCATCAGATTCAAAGTTGGACACAAGTTGAATGCTTTTAGTTGAACTCAAGTAAATATTGGGTGCCTTAGGCCACTCTGAGAATTGTATAGGAAAATACTGTTTGGAAACCCCATGACCGGGAATAAATAATAAAAATGGGAGAACCCAGTATAGTGGTGCTCAACTGTAGTTATCCAGGAGACTGAGGTGGGTGGATGGTTTTAAGACCAACCTGAGCAATAAAAAGTACACCGTATCAAAAACAGCAAAAAGCAGGCCAGGAAACTTGTGATTCAAAATCTCTTGTGGAAAAAGGGAAGAGACTGCTACTACGCCAGTGTAGTGGTCGCTCAGGAGGCTAAGGCAAGAAGACTGCAAGTTGGAGGCCAGCTTGGGCAACACAGATAGGCCCTGCCTCGGGAAAAGAGATTTTAAAAGGGGCCAGTGAGATGGCATGATGGATTAAGGAGCATCCTGAAGACCTGAGTTCAGTCCCTAGGACCCATGTAGTGAAAACCAGCTGTGCAAGTTATCAAACAAGCCATTTGAACACAAACACATTTTTAAAAAGTATTAATCTCCATTCCATACTTGCTCCACATGGCCTCTACCTGGAGTCAATGCCCATGTTTGATCAAACATTTCACCCCCCACTCAAAAAAAAAAATGATGAAAAAAAATTTCCAAAAACTAATCCGGGATGGGGCCTTCCAACTCAGAACTGTGAGGGAGCAGCCCGGCACCGCGAGTAAACCGTGTTTGGCGTCCTGAACGCAAGGCACCTTGGGACTTGTAGTTTCAAGGGTCACGGATGTGTATAAGTAGTGGCGGGATGAGAGGAAGCTCTGCGCATGTGTATGCGGATTGCTGCACGTGTCTTTTAAGGAGGGTTTCTGTTTATAGTGGGAGTTTTCCATTAATTCTCTCACCCGAGCCTAGTAAAAGAGGCTCCAATTCTTGCTTTTCATTAGTGAACACTGTCGGGACTGATTGTGCTAAATTGTTTCTCTTTTCCAGTTGAGGCATACCTAGACCTGTCCCTCACCTGAAGGTCAATGAAAAGGACAGAGCTCGGTTGTCCTTTGAGATTAGAGTCCTGCTTGTTTTAGTAAATATTGGTTTAGGCTTTGTGCGAAGACAACGAAGGGCAGTTTCGAGCTGTGCTAAAAGCCAAAATTTCAAAGACTAATTTACGATCTGTCAGCTAAATTTATCTTGGATTATCTCTAATGTAACAAAGTATACACAATTCCCTGAAATGGAGGAGGCTAGTCGCAGGAGAACAAGCGCTTTAATCGGCGACAGGGCTAGGAGGGGAAGTTAGAGGAACCACCGGGGCCTCCAATTCTAGAGTACTATGTTCTGCTGTTGAAAAACTACTCTAATGGATTCTGTTGGCAGAAGCACTGATGATCCTGCCCTTGCCTAAATTCTCTGGGCAAGGGTTCTCATCTCACTTTTATCTTCAGGTAGGGAAAGGGATTAGGTCTTGTGTTCGAATTTACTAGACCATTTTATTTAAAAAGTCTCCAGCCAGGTGCTGGAGAGTTGACCCAGCGGTTAAGAGAATGTTTACTCTTCCATAGGACCATGGTTCAAGTGCTATCGCTGCTCCTAACTAAGTATCTGGTAGCTCTAGTTCCAGAAGATTCAACTCTTTTGACTTTTACTGCCACCAGACACACATGCAGACAAAACCTCCACGTGCATAAAATTCAAAAAGTTAAATAGCCTGTAGTATTTTCAGTTCCATGTAAAAGTATTGAACAATAACAAAGA